GTTAAACATAGAAGCTTCAGATTTCTTTTGTTGTTTAGCTCTGATGAAGCTCTATCCATCAGGCCCACCAATCAGTGCCCCCCCGCCACACACACACACACACACACACACACATTTTCCTTTACCCAGAATGCATCGCTTCAGTTCTCCATTAAACATTTTTAAATTACTAATATATTGCTTGCTTTCTTACCAAAGCCCTACCARAAACATAAGAAAAATGACCAAGAAGCAGCAGAACTTGCAATCCACAAAAACTTTTTATTTTAACACCATGAGTCAAAAGTCTCTTTCTGTAAATCACTTCCTCAAACCGGGACGAGTAGTGTCATCGTTTGAAAGCAATTTAAAAAGCCATTAGTTGGAAGGACTGTGCAAGAATGGCTCAGGTTATCACTGGAAACAAATTCTGGTGAACTGGGACAATGTTGCGCTTTTGATTTAGCTTCCGCTAAGATTCATTTGTCATGTGTGCTTTAGAACTTGCGGAACTAAATAATTTAACTAGTGCATTAAAATTTGCGCAACTAKCTTTTGAATTAGCGCCGCCCACCACTGCTTACTTACAATGATCAGAAAGTACAAAATACAATACTGCATCTAACATTCAGTTTATCAGTTACAAAATTTCCTTCATCCCCCTGCGTGCAAAGTATAATGTTGTTTAAGAAGGAGCTAAAGGACATTGTAAGCTTGCTGCAAAACAACCCAAAAGCCTTTGACATGGTTACAAAGGACTTCAACAATGTAAATCTCCAGGATAGACTCAGTATTTTATTAATGCGTCATCACTCCCARCCATGGTTAACATTTTTTTGAACAAGGTGTGCACCAACAGTAAAGTTGTCCCCCACTCTGATCACATWTATCAGACTGGTCCCTGCATTCTGCCCTGTGTTTCAGAGCCTGAACAAGCTGTGTCCCAGGACCYCTTTAAACGTGACTTTTGTAAAATCTGCTTTTTTAACTGTTAAATGCATTTTGTTGTGTAGTTGGAGTCTCTAGAAYTGCAGAAAAGACTGCTCTGGTCTCTCCTGGTGCTGCAAAGATATKTTTATATTCTTTTGGAGGTCATATTTTTCAAACGGTTTGCAATGGAGACTGGAAKTGGCCACTGTTTCTGTCTACATTAATGGAGGCCCTGTGGAGATTGATCCCTACTTTAAATATTTTACTGTTCACCTCACCAATGCCATAACCTGGCAAATCAACACCTCCAGCATCAGGAAAGCTCATCAACACCTACACCTCCAGAAGAAACTAAAAAAAGGCAAGGCTGAGATCCAGCACCCTCACCTCGTTCTACAGATAAACAGTAGAGAGATTCCGACTTCCTGTGTCACTGTGCAGAGAAAGAGGCACCGCAGCAGGTTGGTTTTTAGTTTTGAATTATTTTATGTTATTCATTATCTTTTTTTCTGACTACTTTAGAATAGTTGTTAACTTTAACTTTTAATTATCACTCATTGAGGTGTGTTTCAATTTTTAAGAACGACAGTAAATTTTCCTGAAACAGAGGCAATAAATCAACAAACAAATGACTTGTTTCTGGGGAAAAAAATAACAGTGCTTGAATTGTCATGCAGGCACAAATGCAGTTCAGTTTACAGAAGTAATTCATTGGACTGCTGTGTTGGAGACGAGTCAAAATTACATGAAAATTGCTAAAAAAAAAAAAAGAGCGAAGTTTCAGTTGAAGTTTCAGTTGCAGCTCCTCTGAACTTTGAGTGTTTGCAATCAAGTATGTGTTGAGTGGGCYATTTTTGTAAAGTACGAAGATTGGCTCCTTTTGTGCAGAGAGAGATCTCAGCTCGACACAGCATTCCTGATTTATGATATTTATGGAAGTCAACTCATTACTATCAAAATTACATGTTAATGTTATAAATGTTTCAGCATCGTCTCTCAGGTGACAGCAGGACACGTGTGACTAAGACAGTGGTTCCCAAACTTTTCATCTTATGACCCAAAAAATATCCYTGGCAAAAACTTGTGACCCCAAATATTACTGGTCTGAGTGCACGAACTTTGTTAATAACCCTAAAAACCACAGGCTTTTTGACAACCTAAACAACTTGTACACAAATACAAATACTTATTTATAATTTTTTGTGTGTTTTTGTAATAGTTATAGGGAAAATATTACATCAGCAATTATTTTATTACCCCTTAAATTGATTTCTGGAGATTATCCAAGGTGCTTCATGACCCATAATTGGGTCCCAAGCCCAACTTTGGGAACCAAAGTGCAGTGTTCCCAAACTTTTCAGCTTTTGAACCACAAAATAACAGTAGCAGAGACCTGAGCCCCCAACTATTTTTGGATGATAAACATTTGTATCAGGTTAACTAAACATGGGCATAGTAACAATATTTTTATACTACATGAATCCATTTTAAATACACTAACCTCACTCCTTTGTAACAACTAAGGCAAAAATGTAATTAATTCTGAAAATCTTTTCAGGACCCCACCTTGATGTTTCGGGACCCCACTTTGGGTCCCGACCCCAACTTTGGAAAACACTGACTTAAGAGACTCAGAGACATTTATCTATAGGAATACTCAACTGAAAAACAGCTGTCAGAGGTGGCCTTCCAGTCCAAAAAAAAGTAGTTTTAATTGAGCAAAAGGGTCAGTGGGTGATACTGGTTGGATTACTGGAGGACGGACTTGTTGTAAATAAGTTGCCACTATGAAATGGTAAGTTGATTGCTGTGCTTTATTCTGTTTCCTGTACTGTTTTTTCATAGTCTGTGGTAGGGTTGGGCAATATTGGCAAAAAAATCAATCACGATTAATTGTGGTATTTAGCAGATAACGATTAATTTGACGATTAATCCCCTGTTGTCCCTGGACACCCTTATGTCCTCCTAGTCACATGACCAATTTAGTGGGAAAGATTTGCTCTTCGTAAAAATTTGTTCCAAATTGTGTCAAAATTACAGACTTCAGGCTATACATCAAATTATAAAACGTGTTGAGAGATAAATAACTTACAGAACTTTTTTTTTTACGTTCATCATATTTGAAGCAGAGAGGAGCACCGAGCAGACTCTGCCTGGTGGCATTAATCGTATTAATCGTCAAGTGTCAAAAAGTAATCGATTAATGGTTTTTTGACGATTCATTGCATACGATACGATTATGCCCAACCCTAGTCTGTGGTAAAGTTGATTTGGAACAGTGCTCTTCGCGTTTGACTAAAGCCTGAAACATACTCACTGCGAACTGCCGACGTCGGCACGGGTTGTCGCAGTTTAATGACGAAAATTGCATCACCGGGCTTCTCAGCGTCGTGTCGACAGCCCCTTTTGGCACAACCCGCCGGCAGAACTTTTTGACCCCCCCCCCCTCCCGTGTCGATGGTAATGTGTGATTGGTCTGATTGGTCGTGGGCGTGTTTGTTTGTGCTGCGCTCGGGAAAAAAATGAAAAAAGAACGACTCGCTCCCAAACTAGAAAGCAGAGTTTTATAAGATAGTCAAACCGTGAAAAACGTATGGCTTGTTTGTTTGTGCTGAAAGCACTGCTGCACTCAGTAAAAAAAGAGAGGAAAAAAAAACCTGATTCGCTCCCAGAGCCGACACCAGGAAGTAGAGTTTTATAAAGATAGTCATTCCATGAAAAACTCATGAATGGAGATAAAACAGACATTGTGCACGGAGGAATCTGACTGATAAAAACTGTGGAGCTTTAACCAGGACAGATGTGGATAAATACTTCTGGTGAGTGACAAGTCTGACTTTATTTTCTGCATTATCGGCTGTTGCGGGGGAACTCCATGCAGTGAGGTATGTTTCAGGGAGGGGGTTTCCCAAACTCGGCGCGGGGGTGTCGTAGGGACAACGAAAGGTCTGTGCGAAAACAACTGCCGAACAACCATGTGACCGCGCGTCGACCCGTCGGCGTCGGAGCGAGTATGTTTCAGGCTTAATGCTGCACTTTTTTGCGCAGGAGGCCTTGGCCTCTACATCCCCCCGCTCCCCTGCTGTGAGCCACATAGTGTCTATTAATATGCTAAAGAGTCAGTCACACCTAGAGCCACACCTAACCCAAATCACAGCTCACCTACATATCCCTCCTTTGGCCCAAAACTGTGCTCCTACAAATCCCCCCTTTGGTGTTTGTAAATTTTCTAAACTTTCCCAAAATAACTGTTGTGCTCCTAGTCAATTCTGCCCGATTTGATATATTCATTGAAAACAAAAAGACAAAACCCTACTAAACACATAATACTTGAATCCGATACTATATTTACAATTTTTTACTGTAGCTCTGAACAGGCAGTGGCATCCAGTTATGTTCTTTGCAACAAACCACATCTTCAGAGCAAAAACTTGTAAACAGGAGCCCTTGAGAAACAGAGTGAGAATATCATCAGGCGTGGTGGGTGTGTCTGGATTAGCTGTAGCCATATGAATAACAAAAGGCAACTAATAGCCCTCAGATTGCTAAGCAGAAGGAGGGGGTTTGTCCTCAGGATCTCGAAATTTCAGTCACTTCAGTGTTAACATGGGTCATTTCTCAAGCTCCAGGTCAGAATATTTTTCTGTTATTTTAAACCTAAGTAGCCCTTACTGACTGTTTTCTTTATGTGGCGCACGTTTAATGGCTGCTGTTCTAATCATTTGTTATAAAGTGTCTGGTGTTTAGTTTGTATATCTATTTTTCCCCCTTTACTTGGGTCTGTGTTTAGTCGTAACTTATTTTTGTTAGACATAACATAAAGACTAAATGAAAAAAAAATGTATTTTGCTAACCTGGCCATCTTCCTACACAGTTCAACTTGATTCTAATCTCCCTTCTCTGCTCCATCTGGGCTTTCTCCCATTGACATGGATTTCTCCAGTAGGATTCCAACCAGGCCAGTCGGGGAACAGAAGGAGGAGTTGTGAACCATGACTTTGATTTTCTGCGCTGGTTTAGTCCGCCTTTCGTTTAGCAAAGGCAGCGGAGGAAGTGAATGAAGCCGTTCAGTACGTGTTGACAAGGCTTCCAAGTTAAATTCAGCTCGTTACTTCTCTCCTCTCAGTAGGGCTGGTTAGCTTCTTAGCTTAGCTTCCTTCACAGTCGAGCTAGTGCACCAAACATTAGCGATTGGGTAAAATCAGATCCAGTCGTTTTAAACTTCTACAGCGTTCACGCCTCCAACAAGCAGTCATTTCTTAATAGCCGAAAGTCCAGACCCTCTGTTCGAAGCAAAGCGTAGAACGAGGAGCTGGTTTTTACCAGGCTAGTATTTTGCAAAAAAGCTCTAAAATATGGTTTTGTGAGTTCTTGGTCTGACACAGACAGGAAAATCTCTAAGTAGCTTTTAATTTCCCAAAACGTTTTAACTTTATGACCCGACTTACTTACTAAACATGCAACTGGTGGACAAACACTTTGAAACCTTACACTAATGTTCAGTCAAGTGACAACTGTAATAATCAGTCTGACCTCTGCTCTTTTAAAAGGTAGTTTAAGGGATTATTTCTGCAATTTTGTAGAAATGTGCTACGATGAAGAAGATCGCTCCACTAGAATCAATGTCTGAGTGTTTTTATGCTAAAAAGCCATCACTACTTCAGACATAGCACACTTTGTAATTTATGAATGTTTTCACCGACCTGCAGGGCCTTGTTGTTGTGAAGCTCAGCCTGGTCCCTCGCCTCCTCTAGCTCCTTTTGCAGTCTCCGGCATTTTGCCCTCCACTGGTTCACAGCTTCTTGGGCCCTGCTCTTCAGTTCATTTTTACTCTTCATGCTCTCCTGGAGTAACGCCTCCATCTCCTTCCTGTCTGCCTGCCCTCGACTCTGAAAGAACAGTTTACTAATAAATACGGTCAATACTCTAAACTACAAGCCATTAAAAAGAATTATGTTGAAAAAAAATTATGCCTTTATCCTCGATCTGTCTCTATACAGTAGCAATAAATGTTATATTTCTTAAAATTGTAAGTTTATACTCAGAAACAGGCACTAAACACAGCATGTCTCGAATTGAAATTATGATGATTAACATAATTTTTAATTTGTTTTAAAGTACCTGTAATTCTCTCAGCTGGTCCAGCATTCGCAGCTGTTGCTGCTCCCGTCCAACCATGTCTGAAGACAGGTCCTTACAGAGGAAAGAAAAAAAAGTCAGAAGAAAAAGAAAAGGGTCAAAGATTGTATGTGCGTGTAAGAACTTTGCTACATGTACAAAAAAAATATTAAAAAAAGAAATAGCAACCAATAAATAATGAGCTGTGAGTGACGGAAAAAATGTAGAAAGCAAAAGAAGGTATGAATTTTTTTAAGAGAAGATGAAGTCTGAAGGCTTTCAGAGGGAGCAAATATGAGGACGAAAAATAGCAAAGGTCAGAGAAGGTCGTGTTTGTTGACATTCTTTCGAACCAGTAGATTATTAAAGGTGCTAATGCATAAGCAATGAAGCAGCCTGATTATTCAGCTGCTATTCTCTCTTTTCTGTCACAATTTTTGATTTGCTTCTCCTCGACATTGGAAAACCCCAAACAAAATATACATTGAATCATACGACTTGATTGGGAATACTGTGCTATGACTTTTGGTATTGGACATTAAAACTAATGTGTAACCACCAGAAGCTCCTGACACTTATACAGTTCAGGAACCTTTTACAATATGACTTGTAGTTTTTGTAAGGCCACTTTCTTTTCTGCCTGTCAAATCCCTCATTTGCCCCACTCTGGGCCCTTAATCAAGGCCCTTAACCCTCCCAGCTGTTCCCCCAGGCACTGGTGGTCAGTGAAGGACATCCAGCGTAAAAAATCTTTGCCAAATCTTTGCCTAACTTTCGTAAAAAGTGATGTCAGGGAGTGAGATGCACAGGTATGATTACCACAGTGACCCTGATGAGCCAATGGCAGATGCCTTATCTTTTGATCTTGGTTCCCAAATTACTAATAGGCTTAAAAAGAAGAAAGCTGATAGATGTAGCTGCATTGGCACCTTTTAAAATTGCTTTTGAAACTTTCTAGTTAACACTGTGCTGTTAGGTAGGGCCTAAATTAACCTCATTTCCAAAAGGAAACAAAATAAGTTTGAAGTTTTTTGTTTGATGTGTAAAGAGAGGGTAAGTAAGACTACCCTGCTCCCATTTATGTATTTACACTGAATAAGACTGCTAGTTTGGGGTAATTAGTCATACTGATTAGTCTTAGAAATATTAAGACAGCATACAAGTTTGCCTTACCTGTTCTCCTAATTATACCTCGATTTTGCATATTTACCTCTAAAATAAAACCCTTCTTTCGTCTATTTGATCTAAGTATAAAAACCATAAGAGGCGCTGCAGGTGGTGCATAAAAGCACCCACTTTGTGTCGTTACGCCTACTCTGCAACGGAGTGTGGGCGTTTAAACATATTTTCAGAGAAAGAACGAGATCAGGGGATTATGCCAATGTTTAAAATGTGGATATTTAAGTGTGCGTGATAACCAGAATCATAAATACCACCAATTAGAAAGAGAGTGTTTATACATAAAAGAAAATGACACGTTACACCAATCTGAGAATAAGTGGCTGATTTTGTAATCTAAACTGTTGTTTTATCTGAACTGGTAACCTTTATGTTGTCTCTCTAAAAAGGACACACTTATGGAAAACAAAAAGACAAGAAATCCCTCTTGAGTGGTTTTCGTGACGCACCTTCAGCTGTAAGCTCAGTTGAAGCCTCTCTTTTTCTTTACGCTCAAGGGCCCTCTTCAGTTCTTCAACCTCACTGAGAACTGAGGCCCTGGACAACTGGGCCCGCAGCTCAGCCACTTCTTTTTCCAGGTCTGAGCGACGGAAATGTTCCCACACACAGACAAAACAGAAGAAAAAGATGACAAATGTCCAATATGTAGKGACTGCACACTAATGCAGCAAAAAAGCTTTTTAAAAAGAAAAAAAAAGTCAAAATATTGATAAAACTTTATGTACAGAATAAATATCAAACGTTTTAGTTATAGATATTTGTTCTAACCTCTCACTAAGATGTGGAAAACAAACATTTTTGGGGAGCTTTTACTGAATGAGTCCAACCACTGGCCTCATGTACTGTAACAAGAGATGCATACGTTCTTTATTCCCACAAATCTTCAGATGTATCAATAATGAAAAGACTGTTAAATGTGAGGAARGCCACACCTATGTCATGGCTGGCATGCACAGGTTTCTACAGTTATTGGTCCATTGGCGACACCTCAACAGTGTTCGCTGGGAAACWGTTAATGATATGAAAACAACTATTGGACACACCTGAGACACATGATGAACAATAACAGAACCACCTGTACGCAGTTAMGAGTGGATATTAAAGCATGCACACCGTAGTGCAAAAAAATGGCTTTAGCCTTATTAGGGAATAATATTGGTGCAGTGTGTGTATTTAGAGACAGAGGATTATCTGACCCAGGACGACAACTGGCTTATCAGCAGTTTTAGATTTCCAAGGGCAATCCTACTAAAAGTGTGTGCCACAGGAAGTATCTGTGCACCGCTGATACCCATACACCTCCTGAGCACACTGGGGTTGTTAGCAGGGAGCTCTCAAACTGATGGGGTTTGTCTCAGTCAACCCAGAGCCGAGCCGTGCAAGCTATGTGCAGTAAATATTTTTGTTTGTCAGCAAACAATTCCCATACAATGCAGCTGAGTAGGCCAACTCTAAAACGCTCAATGCCWTTGGAGCTATTGATTAAACGCACATCCCTATAAAAAGAACCATGAWAGGCTGATGTGTTTTGTTTGTCACGTGCCCCAGTTTCATGTGTCTTTTATTAACACATCCTCCGTTTCCGGATCTGACTGACTGCTGAGACTTTAAGAGAAACAAGTTCTTCCTGTTGGAGAAAGTAGAGGCTGAAAGACYGAGGAGGCTTGGGTTGGATCGATGATGGCTGATCGTTGGTCCTGATCTCCGTCTCCTCACTCCCTGCTTCAACTAAAGACATCAGCAGGGCTCTAGAGTATGACCAGATTTCCTAATAGTGCGACTAAAAAAAATGTCCGGTCGCACTGGTACGACCGAGGGGGAGGGGGAGGGGGAGGGGG